GGGGGGGGGGCCCTGACACACTCACTCCTCCCAGCTTTCGAGCCTCATGGCACCTGGATACAGTGACTGCCGTTTTATCACAGCCTTTTCCCTCTTTCAATTTTGTTCCTGGCATTCAGCCCCTCCTCCTCTGGCTGAAATCTCAAAAAAAAAATTACATAGAGGTTTATAAACAAAGAGGTGAATCCAAACGTTTTTGGGGGGAACAGCATCTCTGGCTGGCTGGCTGTCCAACTATTATTGATTGATTGATTGATTTGATTTGGGCCCTCACCCTATCCCACGAGTGGGCTCAGGGCGGCCTACAACACAAGTCATAAAACAATAAAAGTGATAAAACCAATAAAATAACAGATGGCACAATAACAGAAAGGACCTTTGCCTCCTGGCCAGAAGTGTCCACAGCTGGCTCTGGGAGGAGGGTGCTTGGCCAGACATAGCCCTCTTCAGCTCATCAGGGAACGCCATTCTGTTTTTATCTGGTTAAATTTTGTGGTCTTGTTCTGTTTTTTTTTCCTGCCATGGGTCATGCCACCAAAGGACAGCAGCTCAGTGGCCAAGTGGCCAGCACTGGCACTACTGCAGGAAGATGGCCAGAATACCAAGGTGGCATGAGTGGTTGCCCCTGCCACCAAGAGGCAACTCAGGACCTCGTGAGCTGCCCCTGCTCCCCAAAAGCATCAAGGGCTGGCCCCGCACCCAGGGCTCTCAGCTGGGCAGTCACCCTTGGGCATCTCACAACAACACCATTATGAAGAACATATCCCAGGCACTGCTGCGCTTTATGGAGTGGGGAGTGGGTAGAGTAGCTTGGCTCCCTTCCAGCAGCCCCTGAGCCCCTGACTGGCACGGGACCCCAAGTCAGCCCTCTTGCTCACACTGCAAATGCCACGCAGCCAGCCTGGGGGCAGCAGCAGGCTACATCTCCTAGCAAGTTCCTGAGCTCCAGCCTCTCTGAGGATGACACTCTACGCAGGTGCCGGTCTCACAAGAAGAGTCACCGCAAGTGACATAAGGTGCAACAGACAGCAAAGGGGGATGAGATATTCAGCAGCGAAAGGCCATCAAGTGAGTCCTCCCTCAGATGAGGAATCTACTCAAACTTCCAGGACTACAGGGTTGCAGCCACCCACATCCCAGGCCTGCCTGTCAAACCTCACACTCTGAGTGGGTCACATGCCTTGTCCACAGGTTTGTCCTCATGTGCCCGCCCTCTAACATCTCCCTTTCAGCCAGTTATATTGCAGGCATGGATAATGACAACATGGATGCCTTGTCTTACGTCCAAGAGGAGTGGTTTTGGGCTCTGCACACAGATGTAAACCAACACTCAGACTCCTTTCCAGAGGACCTGTGGGCCCTTGGCAGCAACTGATCATTTATTTATTAGGGTTTTTTATAATTTATCATGCAGGGATTACTTAATTCCATCACTCCCTCCATGCAATGCTCTTACTTGCAGGCGATGGCCGCCTTCCTGGCTTTCTCCACAACCATTGGGGGGGGGCAGTGGCTCTTGGCCGGCTTTCTCCACAAGCATTGGGGGGGCAGTGGCTCTTGGCCAGCTTTCTCCACAACCATTGGGGGCAGTGGTTCTCAGCCAGGTGTTTGAAACCATGGTCCTCCAGTACCTTGCCTCTCTGGCCATTCACCTGGTGGCTGTCTCATGTTATAGCAAGGCCCACGGCTACTCCAAGCTCTACTGCTCCTTTGGTGCTCATGTGTGGCTCCATGAGATTTGTGACACCAATGGCTCCATGGGATTTATTATGCACTGGCTGCAGCTGCAGGAGCTTTGGTGGGAGCTGGGCAGTATCCGTCTGGCTCTTGTGGTTTCAGCCATTGGGGTGAATCTATTTGGGAGGGGGAGGCTGCACCTGCATGCCTGCCTCCCTGGATAGGGACCCCCTTAAGGGGTCTTGGAGGCTGAGCCCTGCAGTGGCAGACCTAGCTCAGGGGCTGTTGCTTGGCTCCACTCCTATATTGTAAGGGAACCACAGAGAGGCTTGCACCCATGGAGGTCCACTGGCTTGCCATTCCAGGTTTACCTCCAGCAGGTTGGGGTAGGATTCCATTGGTCAACAGGTGGGTCACCCAATGCCTGGTTATGTTTCCTATGCTGTGCCAATGCACCATCAGCTGTAGTCAATAAAGCTGTGGCCTGTTTCACTCCATTTGACTCTCAGTATGTTTCTGTGTCCCCCTCTCGGCCACTTTTAATGTTTGATTCTTTGTGAACAATCAAAACTGTTGTATGGATTTTAGTTGTCATATGTTATAGTGTTGTTTCAGCATCTGTAAATCAACTACATACACACAACCTAGACGAACAAAACAGCTATATACCATGAGCAGTGATCCCTCTTGTAAACCATCTTTAATTCTCTGAAAGCAGTGACTGCCTAGCTTTAAATCTCCCACTGAAATAAACGGGCCTTAATTGTGAAAACTTTCACAGGACTGTGTCCTGGGTTTTGGCATTAGATTCTACAACAGAGTTGCATATGTTATCATTTACACCAGTATAAAGTCCTATCAGTGGACCCTGAAGAGGGATTCAAACAAACGAATGCCAAGGAAGCGATGGTCCACCCTCTCTTGAAAAAACCATCCCTGGACCTGACGGAATTGGCAAACTATCGGCCAGTGTCCAATTTGCCCTATTTGGGCAAACTTATCGAGAGGGCGGTAGCAATACAGCTACAGAGTTTTCTGGAGGAGGCTTCAGTCTTAGACCCCTTCCAGTCCAGCTTTCGCCCGGGTCATGGGATGGAGACGGCATTGGTCGCCCTGACTGACGACCTCCAAAGGCATCTGGATCGAGGTGGTGTGGCGGTACTGTTGTTGCTCAATCTGTCAGCCGCATTTGATACAGTCGACCACCAGTTGCTGGCCCACTGCCTCGCCGACGCATGGATTCAGGGGCTGGCCCTCCAATGGTTTGCCTCTTTTCTCCAAGGTTGGGGACAAAGGGTGGCGATAGGGGAGCAGCGGTCCCGGAGGCACCCTCTTGATTGTGGGGTGCCTCAGGGGGCAGTGCTGTTCCCGATGTTGTTTAACTTCTACATGTGCCCTTTTGCCCAAATTGCCCGGAGGTATGATCTGGGTGTTATCAATAGGCGGATGACACCCATCTCTATCTGATGCTGGGCGGCTGGTCGAACTCCGACCCAGATGACCTCCAAAGGGCATTGCAAGCCGTGGCTGGTTGGCTCAGACTGAGTCGGCTGAAACTAAACCCGGCGAAGACGGAGGTCCTGGGCCTAGGCCGGGCTGGTTCAGGGTTGGGAATCCCACTCCCGACCTTCGATGGGGCGCCTTTGGTGCCAGCGTTGGGGGTTAGGAGTTTGGGAGTGCTCCTGGACTCCTCTTTAACGATGGAGGCCCAGGTAGCAGCCACTGCCAAGTCGGTCTTTTATCATCTTCGGCTGGCACGGCAGTTGGTTCCCTTCCTTGACCATGATGACCTGGCTACAGTGATCCATGTGACGGTTACCTCGAGGCTGGACTACTGTAACGCTCTCTACTTGGGGCTACCTTTGTTGCAAATCCGGAAGCTGCAGCTAGTGGCGATACAGCTAGCTGCAGCTGCAGCTAGTGGCTATACAGCTATAGTGGCTATACAGCTATACAGCTATAGTGGCTATACAGTAGCCAGGCTGTTGACGGGTCTCCCTAGGCGGGACCGCATCCGGCCTGTGCTGAAGGCGCTGCGCTGGCGTACCGGATCCGCTTCAAAGTGCTGGTTCTTACCTTTAAATCCATTTATGGTCAGGGTCCGGCATACTTAAGGGACCGCCTTTCCCCATATGTTCCCCCAAGAGCACTATGGTCGGGGGGGGGACCAACATCTTTTGACTACCCCCCAGTAGACTCAGGGTGTTGCAAATCCGGAAGCTGCAGCTAGTGGCGATACAGCTAGCTGCAGCTGCAGCTAGTGGCTATACAGCTATAGTGGCTATACAGCTATACAGCTATAGTGGCTATACAGTAGCCAGGCTGTTGACGGGTCTCCCTAGGCGGGACCGCATCCGGCCTGTGCTGAAGGCGCTGCGCTGGCGTACCGGATCCGCTTCAAAGTGCTGGTTCTTACCTTTAAATCCATTTATGGTCAGGGTCCGGCATACTTAAGGGACCGCCTTTCCCCATATGTTCCCCCAAGAGCACTATGGTCGGGGGGGGGACCAACATCTTTTGACTACCCGCATCAGCACATTGTTGTACTATTGTTATGTTTTTATCTTGTTTTAATTATGGCTTTTGCCCCAATTCTTAGCCGCCCTGAGCCTTAGGGGAGGGCGGGATATAAATCTAATTATAAATAAATAAATTATGGCGCCAAGTCCTAAAATGATAGCTTGACTGTTCTTAAAAATAATTTGACAAAAATATTTAGCCAAATATTTTCTGTAAAAGTTTGCTTTTGTAGAGAACAAATGTGGGAATAACCTACTTTTTAAACACTGAAACTATGATTTATCTTCTACCATATAGTTACTGATAAATATGGAGTCAGCTATTAGTATAAAAGAGAATGAAGAAAGAGGATTATGTTAATACAAATAAAGAACAGGAATTGCAAAAGGGAAGAAAACAGAATTTAAACAGCATTTGTTATGTATGCTTCTAACAAAATAAACTCCACATATCACCACAAGCAGCTGTTATAACATACTGTTGGAGGTTTCCCACACAAATTGATTTACAGAGGAAAATCAGCAACAGTACTTTATAAGCTGTTGTGGCTGCAGAATCCTGCATGCACAAAACTGATGGGAAACTATGTTCTCAGTGGCTGACCAAATCGCAGTGAGGGTTAGGAGTGGAGGGGGAAGGGACATCAAGTGCTCATCAGGTTTAACCGTGAAGGGGGAAAAAACAAAAAGAAAGGTCATGCTTAACCCAAGGAAAAAATGCAAATTAAATACTAAGTGGATACACAGAAAATTCAACATTTGACTATATTAATGCATAAGGGCTGAAAGGCAACAAGGACCATTTCAGTCCCAAATGCTTAGCTTTGCCTTTAATCTGCATTCAGGCAAAGGACCAATCAGTAGTATAGACACATACTCTTCCCATGACTCTAGTGGTCCTCTTACTAAAAGGAACTGCATCATTTTAGGGCTCCCAAGATCCTTTTAAGGGGCATGTAGGAACTGCAAAGCACGAAAGAAGAGGGGGTGTCAAGAAACGTGGCTATAACCTCTCTTCATAAATTATGGTTTTCCAGTGTCCCTATGGATGACATCAGCCTTTGCTTAGATTTTCATTAATGTTTTCAATGTTAAATATTAACCAATATTTTAAAATATAGATCCGAATTAATTAATTTTTAAAATCTATCTGGTTAACGTAAGAACTTTAAGGGAAACTCCAGAATGCACTTGACCATTGCTGGGCAACTTTTTCTGTCCCACTGCCAACACTTGTCCAATGCTGCAGTTTTTCAAACCATTAATTTGGTTTCCATATGTACAAGAAGACCAGCATTCCAAACGCAGTCACGTTTCAATCTAATGTCCCTTTCCTTTTTGACATGCTATCATCATAAAGCTTTTAACAGAATGTAAAATAATAATCCTAATCATGAGCATTTAATAAACAGCAGCTGAGTATTCTTAAAGTACACCCGTGGATTTTCACAGGACATTCCCCTATGTATTTGTAATGCCAGAGCATTAAACCCTGGGAGCAGATGGTAGTGTCCTTGAGGCAGTGCTTTCTGAGCAGTACCTGTAGTGCACAACTATCCTATCCAATGAACTTAAGATGAATTTGAGCTGATAAGGGCTTGCCAAGGACACTCTGCATTAGATCCTAAGGAAAGGTGAAGTTGCCTTGAACCTTCTGTATACACAACTCTAGTAAAATATGAAGAAATGTCACTGCTTTTTGATGACAGTGCAAGCAGAACTAATAGTTCTGTCCCAACTACTAATGCTTCAAATGCCATTTTTATCTGCAGGGTAACCTTTAGGATCAAGAAAGCAGACAATGCCCTGCTGTACCAAACATGACAGAGGAGAGATATACACTTTCTATGAAACTTTGGAGATACACATACAACTTACACATTTCCAAAATTTGCCAAGCTAACAAAAAGAAGTCGTACCACTGCAAATATACTAACTCACCTTCTCTTTCCTCTTCAATTTGTGCCATTCTGAGAGCCATAGCAGATTTCTCTTCTCTGATTTGATTGTGCACATCTTCAGACTCAGGAACAATCTCTTGCCATTCCAACAGCTGATTCTGTAGTTCATCCATGCTGCCTGATTCACTAGCCTGCAGAAAGTTAAGTTGAGACATGGAATTAATACAATCAGTTCAACAGAGCTTTTTACAAGCAAAATAGTCTGACAAAAGCTTTCTTGTACACATCTGATTAGTGAAACTAGCTAAATATCACATTCCGGAACTGGAAAACAGTAATTATACATTTACATTGTGATTATACATTTAGTCAACCACAAATACATGAGAAATAATAGCGCTGAATTACTTCAAGTCTACTACTGATGGTAATGTTGTGGTGGATGACTACAGCTCAGTCAGTTCCATATAACCATTACAGATTGTTTTAAAGCCTCCACTTGCAATCCATTTGCCTCATCCATTTGTGATACGATAGCTGACTACTTGCTTTAAAAGTGGAAAGAGCAGGAAATAGGTAAGGGAATGCACAAAATCCTAGAACATGAGATCCAGAGAACTCTTAAGTCAACAGGAATGGAATTGTTTAAAATGGGTTTTCTTCTGACATACAAGGTGAGCAGCTCTAAATCCAACAGAAATTCAGAATAACTGTAGCAGCCTCTGAAGACAATATAGATACCAAAAGAAATACCACAACTACTAGTAATTCACAAGATTTTCAGCACAGCAAATTTTAAATACTTCCCAGTGCTGCACACCATTAGACATAACAATTTCTACTACTGAAAATTCTGTTAATCGAAACAGCAGCAGACCTGTGAAGCAGCCCTCTTTGTAACTTGTTCAAGGTCAGCTTGCAATTTTCGTTGCTGTTCTTCATAAACCTCCAGCTTAGTCAGCAATTCTTCTGTAAAAGCAATTAGCTGTCTTAATTGCTAGCATCAATAGTTTACCAGAATATAGTCATACAGGAAAATTTAAGTTCAAACTGTGGTCACAGGTACATTTAATGTCCACTAGACTAGCAACTCCAGCAACAGGAAATTAACAAGTATTACATTAAAAAAAATTATCCATATGGATTTATCTGCATCACAACAAATCCTCTCAGTATGATTCTTACATTACTAGTTATTTCCCCTGATACCATGGGTCCCTTGAAACGTGTGTATGTGAAAGCTGGACAGTTTTTGCCGAGTAATCAGCACCTTGCAAGCTATTTCCTAAACTTGAGGGAGTCTAAATTTCAGTCTTATATGTGAACCTCTTGGTCGTGATTCTCTGGACAGTAGTCTTTAAGTATATTTACAGACCATACTGGAACTCTTTAAGCATATTTATTTGCAGTTAAATTGTGGTAAAATGACTACAGTTAAAAATACTGAAGTGTTATGGAAACTGAAAGTGACTTTGGAAGCTGTGATATACGATGTCTGCTTCATGCAGCAGATGCCAGGAATTGTTCTAGCCTCCCAAACTTCCTTTCCATACTATGTACTCGGCGTTTAATGCTACGAGACTCATCTTCTTTGTAATTTTACTTCGAAGGAAAAACAAAAAACACACAGAAGTGACTGTAATCTGGTATGCACATTGAGACTGATACATATTGGACTCAAGCACACAGGCCTGATGTGAGCCCCTTTCCTTAACACAAGGTCAACCAAGAGGATTCATAATGGACGTTGCACTAGGCTTTCCAGCAGCTAGCTCACATGTGGTACAAAGGCTAGTGTGCTGGACTCAGACTGGGTGGCCTTGGGCTACTCACTATCTCTAAGCCTCAATCAAGAGTACTCAATTCAAACAGTTACACGAACCAGAATCAATCTGGACTTGAAATAAGGGGGACACACTGTGAAACAATGCGAGGCCTCACCAGCACCATCCCATGGTATCAGGCTGTGCCCCGTTATTTTCAAAGTTTGGAATGCTGGGGATTTCGCAACACTGAGGGCTCACGCAGATGAGACAAAGATTTCAAAATAATCATCAAACTGAGGGCTGCCACCTCCTGCCTGTCACAGTAGCAGGCAGAGTATGTCCTTTCTAAATAAAGCTGTACAGGCCCTCCACGAGCTCTTGGGTTCTCATGAGAACTGGAGCTTTTGTGAGATCTTGGGAAGCAGAGAGCTGCCTTAGCAATCATTCCCAGGCATCTGTGTTTCTCTCGACTTGCCTAGTAGTTCCCACCCATCTTTTCCGGACCGGACCTTAACTTGGTTACTGCAAATGCTACCTTACTGAAGTATGCAGCTTCCTATTAAACAAAGAAATAAATATTAGGTTTAATCCCACTGAACATATCTGCTGATGGGGAGTGGATGATTTGTGCCAATTCCACCTCCTGTGATAGACCTTCGATGCTGTTCCGAAGGGCCTCTATCCCGCAGAAGCAACATTTTGAGAGGCATTGCAGAAAGAGGGGGAAGGTGAGGAAGCTGCATTACACAGCCAGAATTCTTTCCATCATCTATAATATTCGGTGGGATCCAAGCCACTGAAGCCCAGAACATCCTTAGGATACACCATCTACTCAAAATCCAAAAGGGAAAGAAAATCTTTTTACTATTCACCATTTTGTGTTTTAAGTTCAGAAAATGCTTGTAATGTAGATTGTAGGTCTTCCTTTTCCCTTTCTAATTCTGAAATTTGGTTGCGTAAAGCGGTTACATCATTATTCTTGGAAGTAACCTACAACAAAAAAGGAAAATTTAAAAACTTCATTGGGGTATCTGTCAAACAAAGAAACTGAATCCTGCATTCATCTTATAATGTGTCTGACGCCATTAAGGCATTCTGGAGTAGCAGAGTTTCTACAATACAATGTTTGCATGGTTGGCCCTCATTAGTATTTGGATGGGAGACCGCCAGGGAATTCCAAGGTCACTATGCAGAGGACGGCAATGGCAAACCACCTCTTGCCTTGAAATTCCTGCAGGGTTATCATAAATCATCTGTGGCTTGAGGGCACTTTATACACACACAATCCCTCCATTTGCTACAATGGGAAACTCTTCCCACCTCAGCATAAGCTTTCATGGGGTCAAGTGAGCTGCTGGGGGGAGAGAGAGAGATGGAAAAGACTTGTGGTCATGAACACCTTCTACCTGCAGTTTACAGGATCCAAAACATTTAGTTGTATCTCAAAATTTAAGCGGGTACTTTGGCACCGTTTTAGTTCTTTTAAATCTTTTCCTCAGTCCTCACTGAAACTTATCCATAGTATCACTTTTTAAAAAAAGGTTTACATACATTTTTTAGTTCATCTTCAAGCTGCTTGATTCTGGATTTGGACCAAGCTTTCATCTTGAGGAACTTGGCTTCAGATTTTCTGGCCTCTTCCTTTTTTCTTCCGATTTAAAATTTGCTTCAGCTAAAAAAAACCCAGCAACTTTATTCATTATAGTTACAATAATAAACACTATTATAAAATATAGCCTGGTCTGCTGAGTTTTAAAGATAAAATTACTGAAGACTGTCAGATATTACATATCAAAAATTACTAAGAGGCAGCTCACACATAGTACAGGGGTACAGTTCATCCCTTTACTTGCCCTGCCCCAACTTGGATCAGTCTAGTCCAATCTTGTCAGATCTTGGAAGCTAAGCAGGGCTGGCTCCGGTTAGTATTTGGATGGAAAATCACCAGGGAAATCCAGGGTTGCTATGCAAAGGAAAGCAATGGCAAACCACCTCTGAACATCTCTTGCCTTGAAAACCCCCTATGGGGTCACCATAAATTGGCTGCAACTTGATGGCACTTTCTACCGCCACCACAGGTAATCCACATGGCAGGATGCCAGAGTGAGAGTCAGGACTGCACAACCAAATTCATTTAAGAGCACATGAACATGGCTTACATGGGGCAAACGTCTAAGCTCAACTTACTCCTGCATCCCAACAGATGAATAACCTATAGGCCCCCAGGTTCTCTCCAAATTGGCCATAAAGGTGTGTCTCGGAACTTTAAAAGAAACCATGCTACTAGACTTGCAGAAGCTGTTTCAAAGCAAACTCAAATGTGCAATGATTGTACTAAACAACCAACTGTAAAAGCTGATGTAATTCAACAGGATACCTTCTAGTTGGTCGAGCTTCTGTTTAATTACAGAATCCATATCAACAGTTTGTTCCAAATTACTCTGTCCACTGGTACTTAATTTGGCTGCTTGTTTCTGAAGCTGAAGCAGGGCTTGGTCTTTTTCTTGCAGCTCAGTTTCATGCTTCTCTTGAATTGCCTGCAGGTCGGCATTATGTTTCTCTTTGACTTTTTTCATTTCTATCTCATGTTTCTCCATCATGTCTTTCAGCTGAGCTCTCATTACATGCTTTTCAGCATCCAATTTGGACTGGAGGTTATCTTTCTCTGACTGAAGACGTATCAAGGTTTCATTAATTTCCTGGATGAAAACAATGGTATTTCAAATAAATAGAGGTATAAGCCTGCTTTTAACCTGAAAACTGTTTCCCTTGTGTTCATAGACAGGAAGGAGGGAAGGAAAAGAGAAAGAATACATCTATTAAGTCTCCGAACTCATAGATATGAAGTAGGTTTGCCTTGGAAGCATCAAAGGAATATTCTTCCTTGAGCTGCACTTGCACATGCCACCAGATTCCATCTCAGTGGGTGTCCAGGCCAGAAATCTGTATAACAGATGGTAGGAATCATTTCCAGACAAGGAGGTCTGCTCCCATTACAGCAAGATCACTTTTGCTGATAACCAGAATCCCCCAGCACAGGACAGAGGATGTCCCCACACATGCTAGCCCTCACCTCACATGCCCTGAAGTTTCTAATATGATGAGATGACAACACCTTTTCCTTCCTGTATCAAAGGCAATGGATGTGAGGCCTCTATGTACATGCAGAGAAAACTCTGGAGTTTTTGTAAAGAGAAGACTAGAATCATTCTGTTGGTCACCAAAACATCTGTGGCTCTGCACAATAAGGAAGTTGTTCGGTATAACTGGAGTCATTTTCAGGGGGAAATCTCTTACACCAGCATTGCGACTAGGATACTGTTTCCATATAATATAATATAATATACTGGGGAAGTAGTTTGCTGCAGGAAAAGAGGCTACTGTTAGGACACAATATAGAGAAAGTGAGTGGCTCCCATTTTGGCAAAGACATCAGACAAGGATGTATTTTATCTCCCTGTCTCTTCAATCTATATGCAGAACATATCAGAAGGAAAGCTGGATTAGATTTAGATGAAAGTGGAGTGAAAATTGATGAAAGGAACATTAACAATTTGAGATATGCAAATGATACCACATTACTCGCAGAAAATAGTGAAGACTTGAAATGACTCTTGAGGGTTAAAGCAGACAGTGCCAATGCAGGATTACAACTGAACATCAAGAAGACAAAATAAATTACTCTGAGGAATTACATGGCTTTAAGGATGACAATGCAGAAATTGAAATTGTTCAAGATTTTCTATGCATGTCACAAAGGAAATGAAGAAATAACCTGTTAGTCACTGTTATTTCTAAATTAAACAATTGAACTTGTTTTTTGATCTGCTATCCTAGATTTAATCCTGACTAACAGGGAAGAACTGGTTGATGAAGTGAACGTTGTGGGATCCTTGGGGAATAGTGACCATGTCAGCTTGGAATTTGACATAGAGAAGGATGTGAAACCAGGACATAGTAGGACTCGTATCCTGGACTTCAGGAAAGCTGATTTCAAAAAACTCAGAGAAATAATAGGTAGGATCCCGTGGCTGGGAATGCTGAGGGGGAAATCTGCACAGGAAGGATGGGTAATGCTGAAAAATGAAGTGCTTAAGGCACAATTGCAAACTGTTCTGGTAAGAAAGAAAGGTGGGAGACGGGTAATGAAGCCGAGGTGGCTGAACAAGGAACTCTCTGAAGAGCTGAGACTAAAAAGGGAAATGTACAGGAAATGGAAAGAGGGTAAAATTATTGAGGGTGAGTACAAGAAGCAGGCTCAAATCTGTAGGGATGGTGTCAGAAAGGCTAAAGCGCAGATGGAGCTGAGGCTTGCGAAGGATGCTAAAAATAACAATAAAGGTTTCTATGCCTATGTTTGGAGCAAAAAGAAGAACAGGGATGGGGTAAA